CCCATTGAGCGCGGGCGCCTCGTCTCCGCCCACCCCGCCCCGACGCCTTGTGCTGAGCGCCCCACACGGAGCGCGATGAGTGAGGCCAGCCGGAGGCCAGCGTGAGGGCAGAGAGAAGGTGCCGGAAGGCCTGGGAGCAGCTCTCCCGGGCAGCCACCTACCCCCCCCCCCACCCCCACCCAGCCCCTGGCTCCAGCAGCAAGCCGTCTGTCCTCCGGTTCTCATGGGCGCCTGAGCAGAGGGACATTTAATCATCCCCTGTGGTTGTCTCATTTCCTCCCCAGAAGAGGGAAGAAAGGGCCCCACAATGCTTTCTTACTGTTTGCCCTTTCTGATCTCCCCTGTGGTGGCTTGCCTTCCGTTGATGCCGAGCTCGTTCTTCTCCCAGAGGACCCTCCCGCGCAGGCACGGTGGGGACGGGCAGGCCCTGGTGTCTCCTCGGACCTGGGCCTGGCTGTGCTCCCAAGTCCTTGGTGCGCCCCGGCTGTACCGCACTCCCCGCGTTCGCTGAGCGCTTCCAAGTGTGTGTGACATGCGCTAGTATCGCTTGCTATGTGTCTTGACAACGACCCGAGGAGATAACCTGCTTCTTCCCACTTTATGATCAGCGGCAACGACAGCGAGATGGAAGGGATGCAGGAGCTCTCCCGACTCAGCCTTCACGATGGGCAGATGAAATCGGGGCTGAGGAGGTGGACTCACGGCCACCTGCTCGGGGAACACCCCCCCTCACCCCTCTGGGCTGCACCTTCTCAAGCTGCAAGAGTTGGAACCAGATCAGGCTAAGCTCTTTGCCCAGCTCTGACAGACTGGAATTTTTTTTCTTTTTTTCATTTTTTTTAGAAAATTTAATGGCTGCTTCCTTTTTTTAAAATTTATTTAATTTATTTTGGCTACATCGGGTCTTAGTTACAGCATGCGGAATCTTCACGGCGGCGTGCGGGCTCTTCGTTGTGGTGCGCGGGCTTCTCTCTAGTTGTGGCGGACCAGCTTAGCTGCCCTGCAGCATGTGGGATCTTAGTTCCCCAACCAGTGATCAAACCCACATCCCCTGCATTGGAAGGGGGATTATTAACCACTGGACCACTAGGGAAGTCCCCAGCCTGGAATTTTATTCTACATAAAGAAGGATAAGCCTATTGATGGAAAAAACCCAAACCAAAACACACACACACCCCAACAAGATATGATTCCAGATTAACCAGTTTTTGGTAAATGTCAAAGGCTTTGCAATGCCAGGACTTTGGAGCAAACTTCCTGTAATTGGTCAAGGTTCCACAGAGAAACAGACCCAATAGGATGCATATATACAGAAAGAAGCTTATTATAAGGAATTGGCTCACATGACGATGGAGGATGACAAGTCCCAAGACCTGCAGTGGGCAAGCTGGAGACCCAGAAGAGCTGATGGCATAACTCCCGTCTGGAGGCCGGCAGGCCTGAGACCCAGGAAGAGCCAGTGCTCCAGTCCAAAGGAGAGAAAAGCCAGTATCCCATATCATGGCCACTGGGCAGGAGGAAGCCTCTCTTACTTGGGGGAGGGTCATCCTTTTTGTTCTATTCAGGCCTTCAACTGACTGCATGAGGCCCACCCACATTAGGGAGGGCAATCTGCTTTACTCAGTCTACTGAGTAAATGTTACTCTCATCGAAAAACACCCACACAGGGACTTCCCTGGTGGCGCAGTGGTTGAGAATCCACCCGCCAATGCAGGGGACACAGGTTCAAGCCCTGGTCCGGGAAGATCCCACATGTCGTGGAGCAACTAAGCCCGTGCACCACCACTACTGAGCCTGTGCTCTAGAGCCAGCGAGCCACAACTACTGAGCCCATGGGCCACAACTACTGGGCCCATGAGCCACAACCACTGAAGCCTGCACACCTAGAGCCCGTGCTCTGCAACGAGAAGCCACCACAATGAGAAGCCTGTGCACTGCAACAAAGAGTAGCCCCTGCTCGCCGCAACTAGAGAAAGCCCACGTGCAGCAACGAAGACCGAATGCAGCCAAAAATAAATTTATTTTTTAAAAACCACAAAAAAACAAAACACCCTCACAGACACACTCAGAACCTTAGTTTGACCAAATATCTGGCCCATGGCCCAACCAAATTGTCACACAAAATTAACTATCACACCCCTCCCAAGGTAAGATTTCGGTAGACATGTGGGCTGGAGACTTTGCTCCCATGGCTCGGACTCCAGGGGCAGAGGTGAAAGGAGCAAAGACACGCTCATCGCCCCAGCTCGTGACCGGGATGAGCATCTCCCATGTGGCCACAAGGTGGCGCCCGCGGAGGCAATTCCCTGGATGGAGCCGTGACCACATGCAGCCGGCTGGAAAGGGGCTCCACCTGGGGGCTGAGGTTGGGTTTCACTCTCTGGCTGTAGCCCCAGGGACTCAGATCTAGAGTGTAGACCAGCCTTGCAAAAGGGAAGGAGAAGGACTTGGCAGCCAGACAATTCCGTGGAAATCTGGAAGACTCTACAGGCGGAGCTGAGAGGGTCCTCCTTTCTGCAGCCAGGCACCTGCCCCTCTTTGGTTCCCAGAAATAGCCCAGAAACCCTCTGTGCTTGTGTCTCACTTTGACAGAGTGGTTTGGGACTGGTGCACAGAGGCTCAGTAATTTGAATCTCCCAGGGCTCGTAGCTGGCTCTCTGTCGCTGTCAAACTGGGTCCTGGTGACTGACCGAGCTCTTAAACCCAAAGGCAAGGTCAGAGTGGGAAACAGTCTAGTTGCTTCTATTTGAAGAAAGAGAAAGGACGGGTCATGGGCAGCACATGGCAAGGGGCAGAGCTTTAAAGGGACTGGCCTCAGATTTTCTCCTGGAGAACTGCAGGAGCCTTGCTGTCACTTGTCACCAGCTGGGTGACTCTGCTTTGCTGTCCTGGGCACAGACACAACACACGCAGGATCGAACACTAGCTACTGCAGGGTATGTCCCCGGCCACAGTGCCTGGGCCATAGATGCCAGCAGTCCCCACATGGTGATTTGGGTAAAAGAAGGAAACTCCCAATTCAAGAACCTGCGTTACTTTCCTTGAAGGCAAACTAACCCACCTAAAGCCCTAACTAAAACAAAAAACCCTTCTATGGTAAGATAAAACACAGACATGGAAGAGCACACATGTCGAATCTGCGACTCAGTGAATAAGAACTGCCCCACGCCTCCCATTCCATCCCATGCAAAACCAACACTGAATGCTGTCTTCGCTCTCTGCCTTTCTTCATGAACGCAAAAATCCTCTTCGGAGTTGTTACCGAAAGTGGGTATTAATGTAGGTCTTTCATAAAAGCAAAATGGTGTAAGACGAACTCTGGAAAAGCAGGCTATACCTGTATACACACACATATACACATGCACACACACAAACATGTTATATATGTATCCACGCATATATACATCAACATGGTTATTCTTAGTATGTGACCTATGTGTCGATGTATGTGTATACATACACACACACATATATTACATACCAAGACGCTCAGAATAACCATGTTAATTTCTTGCGTATGCCGTCCCCACTCTCCCCTCATTTTTTATGGCTGTGCCCCACGGCATGTGGGATCTTAGTTCCCCAACCAGGGATAGAACCCGTGTCCCCTGCAGTGGAAGCACGGAGTCCTAACCACTGGACTCCCTGGACCAGGGAATTCCCAGACACTCCATTGTTTAACATGAGTCTTGTGACTATAGCTGGTTTGTGCCTCTATTTGGGCCTTATCCCCTAGCTTTGTTGTAAATTATGTCCATGACTTTTTCTTTCTTTTTTTTTTTTTTAACTGTGGAGACTATATATCATAACTTTGCCATTTAGCCATTTTCTAGGGTACAAGTCAGTTGTACGTAGGTTTCAGGTTCCACATCGGTCTTTCTGTTTTCGTGTGGGGACGACACTACAATCCTCCCAGAATCCCCTGCTTTCCAAAGCCCTAACTTTTCAAACAAAACTGAGTCATTGGTTTGTTTCACACCAACACTTCACTGAGAACACCCCTGCCACGACTCAGGACCGCAATGCAGCCTGTGGTTAGGCTCTGTCGACGTCTGATAAGGCCCGGTGTTAAAGGGGACGACACACGTACGGATCAATACACGTTACGGCTTGGTGGCCCGGTACAAAAACCTGACGCCCACTGTCAGGACGCCCCGTTTCACTGTGGCCCTGAGATAGTCAGAGACGGGCAGCGGGGGACAGGTGCCCACAGCCTCACCTGCTTTTCACGTTGCTCTGGCCACCCTGCGAGAACCTGACGCTAAACCAAAGGCTTGGTAAAGTGGGCCCAGGAGATGGCAGAGCTCGAAGGAATTCGTGGGAAAAGCCTTTCCCTTCCCTCGGGGACAGGCTGGCTGAGTCATCAGGTGCACGTCCTGCAGGTGCCGCTGAGGGAGGACTGAAGCCCGTCTCCTGTGTCGACTGCCGGGGGGCGGGCTCACAACCCAGGCTGGGCCGCGGGCATGGGGGCTCATGCAGGCGTCACCCGCGCCCGCCCCGCGGCCGGGCCGGTCCCACGGCCGCTGCCACCAAGGACGGGCCCTCGAGGCTCCTGACGGGGTAGGCACTGCTCCTGCATGTGCAGCGTCCCACCCCGGCAGCCCAACTGCAGGAGCCGGGGACAAGGCGGCCCAGGTTTCTGAGGGTCCACGCTGGCCACCTGACAGAAGGACCCATTTTGTTACTAAAGCAACATTGCATCGTGGCTGAGTCCTGTTCGACCTCATGGAGTTTAAGGAAAACTACAGCCTGTTCTCTTCCGGGAGCGAGGGAGCTGTAAGTACCGGGCTCCACACTCCTGAGGAATCGGCAGCCCACAGCTGCAACATGTGTGCAGGACAGTGTACAATGGCCCCTCACAAGCTAGCCACTGCTCCCGAGCTTCTGGAACACCAGTCCTCTGGCTCCAGAATCTCCCCTTCCTTCAATCTCTAAAGTCTCCTAAGGACGTCACACCCTTCAAGGGAGGCTGCCGATTCACAGTAAGAAAAAGACATTCGTTTTTTTTAAACAGTTCACATTTATTATTGATAACAATAAAAAAATCTTTTAAAGACTATCAGTATTGTATTACCAAGAGTGAGGTAATATGTTTACAAAACATTTACAGAATTTGATACGTAAATAATGAAATTAGGAAAGAAAGTGAATTAAGACACTAGTAACAGAGGGGAAACCAAAAGGATCGTTAGTGCTCAGAACAGGTGAAACGACAGCAGCATTTTAAAAAGAGTGCAGGGCACTGAAGTAGAGTAACGATAAACTGCGTGATCGAAGTCTACCTGCCTGACAGCCCCCTTCCAAGGAGGACAGGGCGATGGGTACTCAGGAGGAACCCTGTAAGGATTGGTGCAGTGATGTGCTGTGAACGCTTAAGGATGCATTCGACTCTTTGGGGATAAGACAGTGCCACTTCTGAGTCAGCTCAAAAAGAGCCGCTCTTCAGACTGGGGGAGGGGTGGCCGCAATTCAGATAGTTCTACAAGCGCCCCTGGGCTGATGTGGACTGTCAGTGAAGTGTTTTCTTGGCAGCTGTCAGCAAAATCGCCATCTGAGACACAGAGAAAGAGAGAGAAGGAGAGAGACGGGACTGTCTTCAGGTCCTGAGAATTTGGAAACAGGAAGCAGCACGGATGCACTAACTAACCCTACTGTGCTTTCTGGAAACAAGGCTTTAGGTGCCAATGGTGAGCTTCTCTTGTGCAGGAAATGCACAGCTGTGCTCCGGACGGGCCAGCAGCCCTGGGAGACGCCCAGGAACGTCCTCTGCGTGCAGGCAGCCACCGAGTATCGCTGCCTGGGAGGGTTGCTCCGCCCCTCCTGAGCCCTGCAGACACCTCCCCGCGGGCGCACGCTCGTCCACACAGCTCTCCCGCCACGCGGCACCCACCTAACACCTCCAGGGCAGGTTTACAACAACGCAACTCAGGGTTTCCGTGCCCGTCACACACTGACGATGGCCGCCTGGCTTTTGGCCCAGATCCTTAAAAGCACAGCCTCCGCCACGCACCCACCACGACACACATCTTCATTCACCACGGAGACTGACCCAAGGCAACACCTGGACAGATTCGCAAAGAACCTGCTTTTCCCATAACAAGCTGAGAAAACGAGGGCCAATAAAAGGTAGACCAGGCTTGGTAATTGGAATCAAAAAGAAAAAGTAAAAAGCAGACCGACCTCACAATCTGACCTGCTTCTATGCAATCGAACCTTTCATTACTTGAACTAAGTTTCTACTCACCCTGTCCCCCGCTGACACGCACCCACCCCGAGACACACATGCCTGCAGGCACACACACACACGCCCACAATTTCCTGTCACAAAGAAGCAGGGCTCCCCCAGGCCACAGGCTGTCCCGACATGGCCACACAACGAACACAGGACAGTTTCAAAATGGCAGATGGGACTCACTGTCTCTTAAGTACCCTTCTAGTGACCAGAAGAACCATTTGGGCTCTGATGCTACCAAGCTGTGAGGGGCCTAGGGGAGGCCAATCTAGAATGAGTTCAGAACTAATGCGTGCAGGTAGGAAGAGCAACACACCGGGAGGAAAAGGGAGAGGACGCCCTCGGCCCAAGTTCATGGACAGAGGAAGCCTGCTCTCAAAGTACCAAAAGGTTTGAAAGGAGGAAAGAGAAAATAATGTTGAATGATGGCGGTGTTCTTCCTGGCATTGTGGGGAGTCCGCGAGAGCCCCTGACCCCCCAGACCCACTTTACAACAGTGGGTCCGTCTGGCCCCGGAGCCGGGCCGGGGTGCCCACAGGCTCCCTCTGAGCGGCGTCTGCTCAGAGGAAAAGGAGCCTAGCGGGCAGTCACTGAATCCTTGGACCGCGTCGACCACCGGCAGGGAGGAGGTGAGGGCCAGATGCAGGGCAGGGGACAGGTTGGCAGCTTCTGCTCCGCGGAGGAAGGTGGGTCACCTCTGACGGGTGGTGGGGAGTTCATCCACTAAGGGATGGTGTGGAGGTGCTTGGAAACATTTTTTGCATCAACATTTGAGACAAAGTCAACCTCTTAATTGGTATATAAACTACTTTTCTTTGAAGAGAGAGCCCTTGTGCTCTGGTTGGATTTTGTGCACACTGTATATAAAACCTATGGCTATTGAGCTAGAGTTAAAACTACCTGTCGAGATTGTTTCGGGGTCAGTGACTACGTTTGCCGTTTGCCACCTGGAGAGCTACGTGCTACCTAGAGGGCCAGAGGAGTCTGCACAACGCGGCTGCTGGGTGGGCGGGCGGGCGGCGGCCCGAGGCGGTGGGCGTCCCCTCTGCGCACTGGGCGCTACCTGGAGACCATGGAGCTGGAGTAGGACTGGCTGGACGAGGTGGTGGCAGCGCTGAGCTGGGAGAACCCGCTGTGGCTGGACTCCAGGCTGGTCATGGAGCCTCTGCAAGAAGCACGGGGAGGGGGGTGTGTGAGGACTCCACCGCGGCCGCCCACCGCCTTCCTGGCCGATCCCAGGCCGCTCCCAGCCCGCTCCCCGCAGCGCCCCCCAGAGCCGGGCCGGCCGTGCAGGGCCCAGGGGGACACAGCCCCCCACCGCCCTCCCACACTGATGACGCCGTGAACTGCCAGCGACAGGGGGCCCGGAGGCCACCCCGGCCTGGACCCCGGCCTCACGCACCGGAAGTCCTCGGACCCGATCACTTCAGTGTAGTACATCACTTTGCACTTGTGGGAAGAGACCTGCAGGGAGGCCAGCACGTCGTCCATGCGGGGCAGGCTGGTGGCGGCACAGGCCGGCATGCTGTGGAACTTCCACTGCAGGATGTAGAAGCCCGGCCACCGTGTCACGTGGGAGCCCTGGAACGAGTCAGGCGGCACCAGCTGAGGACCTGCTTCGCGTGCCCTCCCACAACGGGTCTGACAAACGCCAGGAGACCGGGTCCACTCGGATCCAACACCGATTACTGACCATCTCGACGGGGGAAGGACCGGCTGCCCTGATTCATGATCGGGGTCCATCCCACGCTGCCTCCCGGGTGTCGGCCCTGCAGCCAGGCCTCTGCCAGGCGCAGGGGAGGCCACGGGAGGGACCCTCAGAGGCGGTCTGCCCCCAGGACTCCACCTTGGGAGGAGGATGCAGGCGCCTGCAGGGTGGGAGCGCCCGGGGGTCCTCTGCTCACCCTTGAGGGCCTGGGGTCAAAAAAGGCCACTTGGACCAGGCAATGCTCTCTCTGATGTGCTTCCAATGACCTGACCGGTGTATTCTGGGTTAAAAGGACGGCAATCTAAAGTAGAATGCCAATCTGTGAAAACTACTTTCTCCCTTAATTCTGGAACTAAAGACTGTGATACAGATTAAAATGTTCATTATTTTTAAAATGGAATTAAATACTCTCTTTTACCCTGCTTCTAAGACCACCAAAACACTGACAGGCTCATCCCTGAAAACCGTAAAGACAGCAAAATTATGCATCTATTATGAAGGCCAGAGGCACCCGAGAGCTACCACTCTGAGCTCAGGCACTCGGAATAACCAGCCAAAATTTTAAATGAGCTGACAGAGCATTTAAGATAAATTAGGATGCTTAGTAATGACACTTAATAGTTCCCTAATTACTTGTTTCTCTCCCTTCTATTCGGGGTGATTTTCCTTGAAGAGAAGAATGCCGCCAGGTCAAAGGCCGTCTTAGCAGAAGCCTTCTCAATCCCGGCTTTGTACGTGCACCGAATGCCTTTCCCTTTCTTCCATGTCGCTTTTGTGAAAATACTTCCAGAAATAATTCATGACTTTAGATACAAGTAATGGATTCTGCTGAGCTCTAGGTTCTTCTGGGATTCGCTCGGCTTCTTAAGCGACTCTAACCGTAACTAAGAGGACACACTGAACTGCCTGTCTACAGACGCAGGACGGGGCCGAAGCAAGACTTCCTTCTCCAGACGGAAGAGCCACGCCGCGGGGACCCCCAGGAGACCTTACCTGCACACTTTCCCCTTCTTTGCAGATCAGAGGTGACTCCACCATGCTGTAGTCACGGCCCAGCTGCCAGATTCTGTCTATCAGCTGTGCGTTGTTCCCTCCCGGGGAAGTGATGCTGTGCGCCCCCAGGGAGTCCTTTTTCGGTGGCTGCGGCGACCTCTTGGAGTGATAGATGTTAAAGACGATGTCCCCTTTGCACACATCGAAATCCCAAGTGATCACCGAAGAGGCATCCACAATCTGAACGAGAATCTGGAAAAAGAGGTTGCGTCAACCCACCAAAATAAGCACGGGCCTCTGAGGCGACGCCGCGGCAGCAGGCCCCCCGGCAGCTTTCCCCCCGGCTAGGGGGGCGCGCACGGCCGACCCTCCTCACCCCACCTTCCAGGCCTCTGCTCGCTCTTTTCTTTCTTTCACCCAGCTGCTCCTGCTACGCGTCAGCGCCAAGCTCTGTGCTCTGTCAGCCACACCTATGGTCCAAGCTTCCCCTCAATTCCCTGAGTGCTTTAAAACACCCAGTGCTGGCTGTAAAAAGTGTCTTAATACAAAACAGAAATAACGCTAGACACCACAGAAGTGGTTCCGTGGGTTGCTCTGGGCTGAAGGGCACAGGGAAGGTCGCAGAAGAGCCCAGGAGGGACGGGAAGGAAGCATCCAAGCGGGGAGCGGGGTGGACGCGAGTGCAGGCTGAGTGGCCTCTGCGCTAGGTGGGAAGAGGGCGCCACGTGGCCCTGGGGTGGGGAAGGGCCCCGGGTGTCGAGTGCCAACCTAAAAGCTGAATTTCATGCGGCGCCCATACAGCTTCCCCACAGGGAATGATCAAAGTTACAGTTTCAAAAGATTATTGTGGGAGGGATGTGAGAATTAAAACCAGCTGTAAAAAGTTATGTATTCACTAAAAAATTCCAGCAGAAGCCAGGCCCCGCACCCCACCCTGCCCTGGAAGCCTGCCCGCTGAGCCTTCCGGGAGGCGTGTTAGCGCTTTGCTTCTCGTCAAGCAGCCCTTTTGGCCCCACCACGGCCACTTCTCACCGCTGACAGAGCCACACAGAATCTCCCTAAAGAGCGGATTCCGTATGCACAAGAGCTGCATCTAAGCACAGCGGTGGCACCAACGACACCAAAGTGGCTCTAAGGGCAGAGCTCCCTTGGACGTCAGCCCCTCTGCGGACCGGCACTCTCGCTCCTGCATTCACAGCGGGGACGAGGAATTCAGTGCTCATTTCATGAGACCACCGTTCTCGATTTGTGCTTTACTGAACCCCAAAGCAGAACTGAAGTTTTCAGTTTTGATGTAGAAACACTTGCACAGATATCCTGTGACTCACAAGAACACACCACACCACTGAGTTCTCTACCCTGGATGAGAGCAACCGCAACCTAAGGGAAGAACTTGGCCTCCTCGCGCCTGCCGGCCTCCAAATAAAAAACTAATACAAATAATCCTCAAGACACAGTCGACTTCCCCCTACAGAGGCTGTGAATAAGGTACATCGAACCTGTCTTTTTTGCTCGCTCAAACCACAGCCCCATGTCCACTCACCCCACGAGGCACAGGTGGGCCGTGCGGGACACACTCCGGCCAGGAGGATGGAGGAGGCAGTACGGCGTCAGCTCCCGGCCACCACTGTCCACCCGGCCAGCAGCCCAGCGCACTGAGCGGCCTCTCCATGCCAGGTGCCACCCCTCCCACGATCCTGAGCCACAAACCTCAGCCCGAAGTCCAGGAAGGGCCAGTCTGTGCTGAGTCCCTCATGACGCCACAGCACACACGCGTGTCAAAACACAGGCACACTCTTGCTTCTGCACCGCCACGTGACAGCAAGGAGAGAAAACACATGTGCTAGTTTCTCCTCACTCCATCAGATTTATAAAAACGGGCAAATTCCTTAAAGGTAATAAATACCCAAATCCGGTCAAGACAAAACAGAAGATGCGACTGGTCCTGATCACTGAGTACATCAAACTGAAGAGCTACAAACCTTCCCACGGGGAGACCTGCTGCGCGGCCCTGTGTGTCCAGGCTCTCGCGTGAACTGGACCGCGAGCTGCCTACCCTCCTTCCAGGCGCCCTGACCAAGGGCAGCCCCCTTTCCCTCTGAGAGAGCCCTGCTCTCCTGTGTCGACATCTACCTAAACTGCAGATCAGTGTCAACACAAACCTAAAGACCAAGACCAGAGAAAAGCATCTGATCCTCCTAAACTACACCCCACTGGGGAGACCCACGGAAGAACCTCGGTGGGAAGCGGGGGCCCGGCCCCTGTGGCTTCGTCCCGGCACCTACCTCGTGCGGGGCCCCTTTGAAAACGCTCGCGGACTGGTAGATGGTTTCGGTCCAGAGCTTGAGGTCTTCGTTCTCCAGCTCCTCCGCGGTCCTGTACAGGGACTTGGGCACCAGGCCCCCCTCTGGCACTTCACACTGGAAATGTAAACGCAGTCGTGTGAGCTGAGCCAACACAGGCCACTCCTCTGAGAACCAAACGCCGGCAGCGCCATGTCCTGACACACGCGGCTCCTCGGAGCCGCTTAGGAAATGGACAACACCTGCCATGTCGCAAAACACTCTACACTACTTAGCAAAATAATTGTGAAAAACCACTTAAATACATGTGTCTCGCTTTAAATAAATGAGAACAAGTTGAAGCTGATTTGCCACAGAATTCACACTAGTGCGTATGAGGGACTGGATCCAACTACTGAAGCTGGTTTATGTAAGAATATTTAAGTACGTATATTGCGCTGCAGAAGAAAACATTATGTTAAGAAAAGAGTTTTATTCTCCGCAGCTACAGGCACTATTCTCATTACATACAATTACAGTCAAGATATACAATCTATAAAGAAAGCTTCGTGTCTAAGCCAGATCAAGCGATCAGTCCGTGACACCAGCCAGAAAATAATAAAGAGCAGCAACTTTCGGACTTGCTTGAAACAGGCTGAATTAGAATTTGCACATTTCATAAATTTCCTAACTGACCCGGATATAATGACTTAACACCCGAGCTCATAAAATCCAAGCACTGCTTCCATTATCAGCCCTGGGAGGCGACCACACAGGAAAGAAACACAGCCGTCTGCAGCGGGCAGTGCAGCGGGACGCAAACACGCCACAGCACCGAGGCCATGTTAGACGGCAGCGGGCAGAAGCGAGCACTGTCTCTTCAACGCCAGCCCGACAGCGGCACGAAAGAACAGAGAAGGAGCCTTAACGGCCAGCGTGGGGAGATCTCTGCTAACTGCGGGACTCTTAGCATCCTGAACACCTCACGGGGGAGTCAGGTCTGCTTCTGCTGCAGCCCAGTTGCTTTCGTCGTAACTGGAAGAAGCAACCTCGCCGGGTCCTGCTCTGATATAATCGAAGTCTGTGGGCTTCTACAGATCTGACCTCGCGCTTTAATCTCACGGGCGCTGGGTGAGTGAAGGACCTCTACCTCACTTGCTCCTTTGTGCTGCACTGCGATTCCCTGGAGCAGGACTGAAGGCCTCAGAGCTGATCTCAGTGGCGGTTAAATTCCTCGAACAGTCCAGACGGACTCCCCCGAGCGCCCAATCATCAGCTGAATACGTGAGTCGGCCGGGGGGCCGCATCTCAGCATCTCAACGGCTAACCTTATTTACCATGAAGGGTGATGGAAGTCCCTTCTCTGCGAAGAACCACTAGTCCCTGCTGGCGCCCGTCACCTGTCACGTCAGCTAGATGCGTGGACCATGCTTCTGTTTCCTTCACAACCCCCTCCGCCCCATCAGGCCGTTGTGCCCCCGAGTCTGTACAGTCCTCAAGGAACTAAACTTCTCTGACTCCATCGCCACAGTACAGGGTAAAGAAGTGGAGCCACCTGCCTGATAACCTAGCAACTCAATGTATTCAAAACTCCACATCACAGACAAGAGAACTAGTTCCCTTAACTATCCCTTTTAAAATATTATCCTGATTTATTGTCAAGGGGGAAATCTTTTTGAGAATCAATTTGATTTTTTAATGTTTCAAAAAAATACACAGCTCCTCTAAAATGATTAAAGAATCTGATTCACACAAAGCTGAGTGAATAAAGTAAGCTGCGATTACACTGACTGTGAACCAAATTCTCATTAGTATTTAACAATGGAGAATATGTGTTAGCAAAAATTACCGAAATGGTTCTGTTTAGTTTAACCCAGTATCAGAGAGATGTCAGCCAAAACAAAAACGGAAAGACAATCAAATAATCCAAACTAAAAGTTCTGAAAATCCTTTGTGCAAACCAGCATCCACCTCTGCTACAGATGCTTTCCTAGATACGTACCATGCACTCTCCACTCAGGAAGTCTGGAATAATCTCTTTATCGATGTAATCCAGCAGGCCTCCAGGACCCTGGTAGTCATTTCCTGCATAAATAAGGAATTTCCTTCTGGTGTTGTCATCAATGAATGGACTAACCTATAAATAATCAGAAAAAAACACATAGTCATATTTGCTTTGCTGTCTGTATTTCAAAGATTAAAATTACACAGTGATATTATGGGGCGGATTCAAGTTTGACACGCTTTTTCTGTAAAGCCCGAGTGCACGACATTAGGACCCTCAGGAATTCTTTCTTTCCTTAAATAATCTGAGAAACTCTGATGTCTCCGTGCTTATTTTGCTTTATGACTTCGAGTCACAGACACATACACATACATGAACGCACGTGTGTGCACCTTCCAAGCGGCTACCAGTTATGCAGAGTGACACGGAAACCCACCAGAGTCCAGAGGACAGGAAACACCCTGGGGGCACGCAGGATCAGAAGGCGGCCCAGCGTCTCGGGGTAGTTGGCCTCCACCACCTCGATGATGCGCAGCAGGGCCTTCACGCCCGGCCTCCACAGGTGGCGCATGTTCAGCCCTTCCAGGTCCACCAGGCAGGTCCACGAACTGCAGGTGAGATGAGCTCCGTTCAGTACACGGCACACTCGGCAAACCGCGGCCCAGAGCGACTTGCTTTTCTTTTCGATGTTATATACGGTCATTTGTATCCATTTCCAAAGATACACCAGGTTTTAAAAATCACAGTGTAACGAACTCTATTTATATCTGCTTGTATCAAGATATGGGATGGGTGTGGTAGGACTAATCCCTGAAACTTCAAAGCCACCAAGAGCTAAGGGACCGTGACTCAAAGCTTCAGCCTGACGCACTCAGCAATCCAGCGAAGGAGGCCACGTGCTGCCCTTGACCTGCTGAGCCCCCTCTACTGACCCAGTGGGGTGTGTGTGTGGCATTTAAATACGTGGTGTGACTGAACGGCGATAACCTAGTCTTTGACAAACGTTATTGAGTCAAGCACTGTGGCAGGAGCTGCGAATACAGCAGTGAGCAAAGGCCCTCAAAGTCCCTGCCCCCCTGGAACTTACGTGCTAGTTAACCATCTATACCCTGCTCTATGCCAACCTCTGAACCACTGCACGTTTTCAAAAGGGTTTACCGTAACTAGAAGTTTGGTTTAATAGCACAGACTAATTTTTTTCTGTCCCACCTCCCCACCACCAAAAAATAAAGGAGCAAAAACCAACCACCTGTGACTCTGGGCTCCCAAGGACCATGCAGACCTCGGACACGCCAATCCACTCAGACTGAGGGGATGGCAATGCCTGGGGGCAGAAACACCAAACTCTAGCAACGGTCCCTCACAACTGACTATATTACATGCTCTACATGTTTCCCTCTTACCTGCCTCCTAGAGCATTATGGTAAACAGTAAACTATTTCCACTTGGTCCTATAAAATCAAACCAGATTTTGGTTCTAAAAATCAACTAGAAATACTTAACTCATATTCTCAATAAGCTAGCAGGACAAACAGCACCACACAGCTACCTGATAGGCCGGCCGAAGACTTTTGTATTTTCTTCACACCGTCTTAGCCCTTCTTCATTTATGGAGAGAACCTACGTACACAAGGGCCATAAAGATTCCATGATCAGTCTAAGAAGCTACCACGACTGTATCAAAGGTATGCGACTGACAATAACACGGCGTGTTTTAGGTAGGTGTGTAAACCCAGTCATGTATTTAAATCTTGACACATTCATACACACAAAACACAGCACGGATGAAGAACATCTCTTTCAACGAGAACGAGCGCTGTCCTGTGTGGCAAAGGGGACAGCTCCCCAGTGAGATGACAGGAGTCTCCAGATGGGCGGGGAGGGCACAAACTGCTGACCTATCTCTAGAGCAGACACGTCCGGAAGTGTCGGACGTCAGTGTCCGTCAAGTGGGGGCACTGTGATGCCACACGTACCAGCCGAGAGAAGAGGCAGTCTGAGAACTGACGTGAAGTCCAGCTGAAGGGAACCCTTCAATCTGGAGTAACAAGTCCTTCCCCAACAGATGTAGTCCACCCGTATCTTTGTGCGCACACGTGTGTACGTGTGGATGCATACATACGCCCATGTCAGCACATGCACAGTGGCAAGCGCTAACAGAATAGCAACAAAATGCCAACAGTGGATATTTTGGGATAATGGATTATAGATATGCCTTTTAAAGTTTTTGCTTGTTTCTAATTTAAGGACAATATTCTTCTCTTCATAGTTGCCCACGCAGTGGAAGCTGCCCTGGAAGGGGTCAGGGAGACAGGGAAGGAGACAGGGAAGTAGCCCTGATGAAAGATGCTAAGAGCCTAGATCATGGACGTGCCAGTGGAGACAGTGCTATTAAGAGGTCCGATCTGAGGGGCATCTTAAAAAGAGAGTGAGGGTGGGAGGGGACGGCCCGAGCCAGTGGGAGAGAAAGGAAAAGGCGACCAGCTCCCCATACCCTCTCTCAAGGGTCTATACTGATTCTTCTGTTCATGCTGCCCCACCGTGAAAAACACTTTTATAATTTTTGTGCCCTCTTTTGAAGTTTTTGAAATATATTAATAGATCTTCCTTTCTAATTATGAAAGTAAAACATGCTGGTGCAACAGGACAGCTGTCCTATCCCACCCCTGCGGGCAGAGAAAGAAAGTGAAGCCACAGCGGAGCCCGGTGTCCTCTGCAGGGGGCACTCACGTATCTCAGCAGGGCCTCCTCGCCGAGGGCTCTCACCAAGCCTTTGGTGTCCATCTGCCCCAGCCTGAGCACGTAGAGGGGCCGCCCGTCTGCAGGGGGAAGGACAGGCGTTGTGAGCGCCATTCCTGACGTGAGGCTGGGGACACAGCTCTGAGGCCCTGACAGGGAGACGGGCTCACCCAAGTTCCAAAGGAGCTTCAAGCGCTCTCCCGCTGAGAAGCAGCAGCTGCCTTCTGTGGTGCCCACGGGGCCCCCGCAACCCTGCCCCACCAAAGCCAGCCGACGGAGCAGCTTACTAGCAGGGCCCCGGAGGCGCTCTGCACGGAGAGAGGGGGCCCAGCGGAGCTCTGTGTTCCGTCCGGCTCTACCACCCACACCGCGGCCATTGCCGGGCTCAGCCGTGACCCCACTCCACCCGCCACCAAGTCGAGTCAGGAAGCACCGGGCAAGCCTTTCGACGGCGCAGGCTGTCCTGCAGGGCGCCGTGCGCAGGGTAATCCAACCAACCCACGCACACCTAATCATTCATGTTAGGGATCACTGTTCTTGGTTTAAGTTTTGTTCACTCTCCAGGTAGAGCTGAAATTCTGATGTACAAAACCTGGCTACAGGTTTTTACAGATATTGCAGGGGTTAAGTCACTGGAAAGTACCTTTCCTAGCACTGTGCTCCTGAAAAACCTCTGCCTTCGAAGTTTTTTAAATAAAGTCAAACTCCACGCAACTAAGGAACGCGGTGGAGCAGGCTGCCCGAGGGCAGCGAGAGCGGTGAGGGAGCAGCAGCCTCAGGCCCTTCCTTCCGCTCTACAGGGCATCCCCAGGGTGGCGGCGGCGAAACGGGCATCCACTTGCTCAAGCCGGGGGAGGGAGGGGCAGCGTGCCCACGGGCCCGCCTGTCTCTACGCATGTCCCGATGCCAAGTTCCCAGCTACCTTTGTCGTGATGGTGCCAGCCTCCCGCGTAGTAGTCCTGAAGGACCTGGGGAGGCTGCCAGGTGTCGAGGATGTAGTCCACCTGGTGCTGCTTTCGCCAGGTCAGAGACTGACACAGGGTCTCTCTGGCTTTGTCTATGTTGAAGTCCCGGGCACGCAAGAACCGGAGAATATGCTCATCTTTCGGGATCTGTTGAGAGTTAGAGATGTTTCTAAGCAATGTTAAAAGCTGCTAAGGGGAAAAACCAAGTTACCAACGGAATACGACTCTGAAAGTCTCACTTCTTATCAACAGCGAGCTGCGCTATCGCACTATGTAAAATTAGCCATTACCAGAAATTCCTTAATGCTTTAGAAAATCAGCATGATTAGTCTGAATAATCTTCATGCTATTCCCATTTTAGTTTCAGCAAAGTAGAGTGAAGGCATAAGGAATTTCTTAAACACCAGATGCTTCAATTCACTGAGCTAACCTATGAGTTATTATGATCTGTGCACTTTTCTGTGTATATATTACACGTAAATAAAAACCCAGAACACAAAACAGTGTTGTTGGTTTTGGTAGTGGTGCTGGTGTCCTGACACACAGGAACCTTCTCCAGGTTCCGCTCCTGGCAAACAACAAGTTCGACAGGTCGGCTTCCCTGAGTAAAACACAGGCCAAGGCTGTGTCTGGGTCTCCCGTGGACTGGCTGCCCTTGACCCCGGCCACGCACTCACTGCCACATGCTGCTGGTGCACAGATGGGGGACGTGTGCTTGGCACCCCCTTAACTACCCCACTCCTGGGAAAATAAAGCACTGAGATGGCATCACCTTCTCTCAGAAAGGAGCACCGTTACAAGGAAGTGGCTAGGAATGGCGGTTCCAGAACCTAAAGGCCTGGCTTCAACCCCAGCCCACCACTCACTAGAAAACAGACCCTGGGCAAGTTACTGAACTCCTCTGTGTGTACCACAGGGCTGACAAAAATAGCACCACCCCATAGGGCTGCTGGGAGGATTTAATTAAGATCTTAAAAGAGAGGCTGGTGCACGGTCAGCACACAACAAATGGCAGCTCTTACCACAGGGGCTGTGTTTTCAATTACTAATACAAACGGTCCTCAGATGTTGGGCGCTAGTGACCAAGACTGACAGACTTAGAGGGCAGGCCAGCGAGTGAGTAACCACCCCGACACACAAATCTGCCTCTGCTCCTCACTAGTCCCCATCAGCTGGAGGATTACAAAAACCTAATTCCTTATGAGGCTGCTTACCAAAACCCTCAAAATCAAAGCCCAGGGGCTTCCCTGGTGGCGCGGTGGTTGGGAGTCCGCCTGCCAATGCAGAGGACACGGGTTCGTGCCCCGGTCCGGGAAGATCCCACGTGCCGCGGAGCGGCTGGGCCCGTGAGCCATGGCCGCTGAGCCTGCGTGTCCGGAGCCTGTGCTCCACAACGGGAGAGGCCACAACAGTGAGAGGCCCGCGTATCGCAAAAAAAAAAAAAAAAAAAAAAAAAAATCAAAGCCCAGACAGTTCTAACCTCTGAATAATCTGTGAACCACTTCCAAACCTTCTGAAAATTAAAATGTATGAATACTTGGAATACAATATTGCTTTGCAACTTGACATATAATTGTTTTTCAGCAAGTCCATTCTCTGTAACATCTACAAAAGTACAGCTAATTACACACAGTAGGGGATCATAACTTGCCACGAGAGACTCGGATGCCACACACAGGGATACGGATTCAATGACTTTGAGACTGGACGGGCCATCCCCAGCTATGGCGATCGGGCACATTTACTGAGTCGCTATGAACAGGACCAGGGACCCGAGGCTCCACAACAGCGCCCCTGCACATGACTGTGAATTCTCACTTTGCCCTTGTGGGTCTCCTGGAGCCACTGGCGAAGCCGGATCAGGCAGCTCTCCTGCAGTGGAGTCAGGTCACCCAGGTATCTCTTGATGTAGTCTGCGTCTAGTTTGTCTGGAATATAAATTACAGGACATCATTTACAACAAAGAACACTGAAGCTCGAAGGCTTCCAGAGTCCTCCTGCTTGGTGACGTTCCTGTGTGGTCCCGGAGTCTGAGAGGTGACTGAACCACAGGGACGGGGGACTCTAACCAGCCACCCTAGAGACCCCCAATGACAGTCTTTAAGCCCAATCACTGCCAAAGCCACACAGAAACGTGCCGATTCCTTTACACGCCCCGACTACCACCAGATCAACTCTGTTTGCAAAATATCAACTCTATTCATGACAGAATGGCTGTTACAGGTATTTAATGATATTTAATTCAAAGTTACACAAGGAGGACGCACATCATATAAAACTATGAAATAAAGCAAACAAGTGGATCTAGACCTATTTTGGATGTTCAAGAACACAAGAAATCTTCCTCATAAGGTAACATAAGCTGGAAGAATGAGATTTCAAATTAAGCATAGCAAAGAAAAATTCCCAAAGTGAAAAATAAAATGTATTGCCAAAGCAACTAAAATACCTGCCACCTGCCACCTGTTGAAAAGTAACCAAGGGCACAGCTGAGCCGCAGAGAAGAAGGTATGGAAAGATAAATGCCAATAATTCAACAAAACTTATGAGGGCAGAGTTTTCTTGTATTTTCTTATTTTACAATGGGCACAAGTTTGAGGAATAAAAGAGGTGTGTGTGCACGTGCGCGCACGGGCATAACGCACGAGAAGGCGGCGCGGCCATGGTGGAGCCCGCCACCGAGCCTCGGTTAACTCATGTATAAAATGCGAGCAGTGAGCGTTTCCTGCCTGACGGGAACGATCATGAAACGCTTAGAACAGCGCCTTGAACCTAGGAAGCCTGAAATGTGTTTGGCGATGATATAATTGTGTTAGAAAGATCAGTTCCTACCTTACAATTCCCTGAAGATGCCTTCAACTAAAATGAAAAACATTTCCTGGTCTCGGTAAAAGAGTAACTTGATACGTCCCTTCCTGCCCATTTTTTAAAAACTCATAAAAATAAGAAAAACTTATTTTTTCCTTAGAAGGAAGTTTCTTCATTCTAAGAGAAAAATAAAATCAATGTGTTATATAAGCCAGAGGAAAGGGGACAGTAACGAGATCAATTTTCTGCTCGTGTAACCTCTAAGCGTCCCGAGAGGCAATGGCTCGAGGTAAGCCTGGAGTCTTGCTCTCAGAGCGAAGCCTCGCTCAGACCCACCGTCAGGGGTCCCCACTGCGGGCTCAGGCACCCCGCTCGGGGTGCTGAGGGGCTCGCTGCTCAGCCCTTCCTTTAGCGCAGGGTCTGGGACCACTACAGCCAACGGCGCTGCTGGTTTCTTGCAAGATGAGGACATCTCTGAAGAGGGTGCAAGGGAAGGTGGAGTCCAGCGGGGCACAAACGTGATGCCTTCTTCTTCTAGCTGACGAAGGTAGTACTCAATGATCTCTTTTCCCTTTGAAGCAAAAGCGGTTTTAAAGTTAGTATATACTGAGTTTTCAAATTATTCATCCCTCACGGGTTTTTAAAACCGTGATAAAAACTGAGTTACATAAATAGGAAAAAGAAAAGCCAAATGCCTTTGTGGGTTGTTTTTTTTTTTTCATAATCTTACTTCCTCTTCTCTAAAGGTCTAGGAAATCATATCTAAGATGGAATTTTTTATATAACCAGTTAAAAGCACTGGTTTACCACACTGGTACTCAACATGTGCTTTGTGTCTCAACCCAAATGCTTTCCAGTATCACTTAAAACAAGCTTTCAGAAAGCACTCCTAATCCCATACATACTGATACGTTTCACAACCCAACTGCCACAATGATGAGCAGCAGCATGAAAACCAGAAGGAAGGGAAGACTCCAAGGAAGACAAACCTCACCTCTCAGCGCCTGGGACCCGAGAGACCCCCCGAAATGCCTCTTCAGGACAGCAGCGCCTTCACCCAGCAGGGCCCTGCTGGCCCCGGGGCTGCTGGGGGCTGCTGCCCGGCCTGACTGCAGCGCTCACCTTTCCCAGAATGCCCGGACCGGGGGGTGGGGGTGGGGGGGCGCCAGGCCAGCGCCCACAGACCCCTCCTCCGTCCCCCAGCGACCAGCGTCACCTGCAGCCCCGCCCACCCCTTCCACCCCCGGGAGCCCTGACTAACCCATTCCCAGCCTCCCGAAGAGACTCCCGCCCACCCGCTTCCTTAAAATCCCAAGACATACTCACTTTTTTAATGTTGCTGGTATACTGCTTCATTGCAATTTTTTCCACTGTACTTTCAAAACCAAAGAAAGATTTAATATCTAAACTTGCAGACTGTTCAAAACAGGTCCAATCTTCATTTTCAGGGTGAACCTGCAGGTAAAGGAGAAAGTACTCCCACTGATTATACAGACAACTGAGAATATCATTTACTCCTCAGTCAACTGGAGAAACACTTATTTTACCAACGATGTTATTATCATGAAAACAGCAGACGGAAAAATTACACAGAGACGTTCAAATTCATGAAAAGGCTCAAATAATGTTTCTAAAATAGTCTAAAAGTGACTATTAGGAGAGCTTCATTTTCGTTCTTGGTTCAGTCATTCATTTATTCATTCATTCACCATATTCATCGAGCCATGTTCTCCACCATGAACAAAACCAAGATCCCTGCCTTGTGAAGCTTCCAGTCTAGCAGGAGGAGACTGACAACTGGCCACAAACATACAGGCAAGAAATGATATCATTGTTGAAGATAAGCACTATGGACAAAAGCCAAGTTGGTGCAGGTTAAAGGGATGGAGGGCAGGTTACAGAACCGAACAGGGTGCTCAGGGCTGGCTCCATCGAGAAGGGGAGAGCTGAGCGAAGCCGAAAGGAGGGAAGGACGGGAGTCAAGCGGAGGTCTGGGGGCAGAAGGAGCAGAGGTCCTCCGGGAAGTTCGCCTACATGACCACAGCCAGCGAGACAGCGGGCAGGCTGTGCCCAAGGCAGGCAGGACAGCAGAGGAGAGATGAGGAGAAAACAGGGCTTCATGAGCCACTGCAAGGCCTCTGGGCTTTTCCTCTGAGTGAAATGCAGAGACACTGCAGGGGTTTGAGCCCAAAGAAAGCATGACATGCTCTGACATACTTTAAATGGATCACTTTGGATTCAGTGTCGAGGATATATTGTAGGAAAGTAAGGGCGGAAGCAGAGAGACCTATTAGGCTTTTCCAATAATCTGGTCAGAGAAGTTCTTGAAACAGGGTGGTGAGCAGTGAAGACGGGGGACAGATAAACACACTCGGCTCCAATCTTCGGGGGACACAGTAGCCTGGGTCCCTCAATACACATTTCTAAAGTGTTAGAGTGGCCAGAAACGATGTGGCATATTAAAGAACAAGTCAGGCCATCACTTGGCCACCGGAACTGCGACAACAATGTAATCCACCCTGCGGTACACCACACCTGCCGCTCCCGCTCATCAGAAACCAGTGACTACGTGACGAAGAACTGCCGTCTCAGACAAAGGCAGCCCTCACGCACTGCTTAGAGCAGTGGCCAAACGACTCTCAGAAGCTCCGCGCCAGCGCACTCTGCGCCTCTGCCTGAGCGCCGGTTACTCACGCTGTAGCAGCAGTGCTCGTTGATGATGACGCGGTTAGAAAACGTTTCATTACGGGCCTCAATGTGCAAAGTACGTTCCCGAGAATTCAGTGAGTTTTTCTGGATAAAATAAACATAATCGACTCCTGCAATCTTTAAAACAGAAACAGAAAGAAAACGGGTTAATAACAAGAGCAACAGAAGCTATAAACATAAGTTCATTTTGGTTTTGGGGGGACTGCCTTTTAAGGTGCCCTTTTCAGTTACCTTTTTCAACAGTCTAGGGGCATCTATATCCAGTTTGCAGCGCCTTTCTATAACATGAATAGCCCCATCTTCACTCTTGAATTCATTCACAGTGTCACTGTCCACAAACATCGGAATCAAAGGACACGTAGGGAACCTCCTTTCATAGGCCTATGAATAAAATTTTTTAAAAAAGGAATTGAACAAAGATGCAACCTGACAGTCTGTCTTTGATAGTCTCCCTGGAATAAAATCACCTCTTAATACATGGCAACATGTTACATCACAACCATCTTCATCTTTACACCTTAAGCTTTCATTATTTTAAAAAGAAAAAGACATTCAACGTTAATGGACTGGAAGACTCAATATAGTAAAGACGTCAATTTTCCCCACGTGGATATAGAGTTTTAACAAATTCCTATCAAAATCACAGCAAGATTTTCTTCTGTAGCTTATAGACAAGATTTAAAAATTTATATGGAAAGGAGAAAGAACGAAAATAGCCAAAACAATTTTGAAAAAGAAGACCACATTGGGAGGCATCCCTCTCCTCGGGATTAAAGCTTACCACACGGCTACAGGAATCCAGGCTTCGTGCACGGGTGGAGGGAAAGACGCACAGGTCAACGGACAGAGCAGAGAGCCACAAGCTGACCCACACAAACATGCCCAACTGACTTTTTTTTTTAACAAAGCTGCAAAAGCAATTCAATGGAAGAAGGATGGCCTTTTCACACATATTACTGGAGAAATTACACACCCACAGGCAAAAAAAAAAAGACCTCGACCCCCTCGACCTAACTCCACACCTTACATAAAAATTATATCAAAGTGGATCATGAACTTAAACATTTCTGTAACATTCTTGAAATGACAAAATTATAGAAATGGATAACAGATGAGTGGTTGCCAGGGGTTAAAGAAGGGTGGGGGGTGGGAGGGGAGTGGGTGTGACTACAATAGGGCAACGAGACGGGGGCACTTGGGAGATGTTCTGTCTTGACTGCATCATGTCAATATCTTGGTTGTGATGATGTACAACAGCTTCCCTGGATGTTACCATTTGGGGAAGATGGGTAGAGAGCACATGGAATTGCTCCATAATATTCCTTGGGAATAATATGTTATTAATATACTATGAGTCTACCATTATCTCAAAATGAAAGAAACTTAATTTAGAAAAAAGAAAGAAAAAGACTTGCTACATAATTCATCCAAACTTTTAGAAAATGTACTTAGGCACCAGATTTAGTTTGCTCTGTAGCAATCTGTGAAGTTACTGAACTAAAGATACTGTTGAATTCACACTAAAACCTAAGCCATCCAAAGGATCACAGGTGTGCAAACACAGGAAACCATAGGGCATGGGATGACAAGTGTCCGGCTGTAAGAAGAAACCTGAAAAAGGAAGCCCAGGGCTCGCCTCGCAGTTCTGCTCCCCTATAATAAGGGACGGTACCGTGAGATGTTGTCATGTTAGATTGACAGACGCCACTCCCCTCTTAGGCGGGAGTAGAAACGGGGGCAAGGGGAATTGAGACACCCCATCTTTAATGACAAGCAAGCACAGATTTAAGGAAGAAATTTACGGTGTTGAAAGATTAATGAAAGTGTGGAAATGGCACAGACTGCTCTGACTGCACTTCTAACAAGGTGCACGTAGTTTCAGAGCACCGTCATACTGAAAAAGTTGGCCTTCTTGGAGAAGTTCCCTGACGTTCCCCTTCAACAGGCTCGACCATTTGAATATAAGTATACTCATCACACGAGCGGTCACAGAAGACCCCGTAAAACACCAGAGTGACCTAGCAATTCCTCCACCCAGGATGTTCACAACCATTTCATTCCAAGTAATTCTCAGTTTTCTGGTATCTCATCTTCTCTCCATAACATTATAAAGTTACCCCAATCTGAAAAATGTATGCTGCCCTCCTGCTGTCTATATATTTATACTGTACCCAGCTAGGCAACATGGGAGGGAGGGGAAGAGGAAGTGGACAGTTCGGGAAACAGTGTCAGGGAAATACACAGGAGTGTCCTAAGAATAGCAAGTGCTGTAAGGCCTTAAGGAGAAGAAAACACACAGCTTAGAGGAACAGAGGGACGGAGGCTCTGGAAGGCTTCCAGGGAGAGGAGGCATTTACACCGGGCCTCAAAGCATGGAAAGGGCTGTTCATAGTCAGTGATGAGGGGAGAACATTCCCAGGAAAGAGAACCCAGGAGCGCGACTTTGAGGATACCTCGGGGCGTGAGCACAGAACCACAGCCGGCAGAGGAGGGAAATGGGGGCCTGCAGTGACGCCGTGACAAGGAACATCCCTGCTCAGCACCAGCCACGTAGCCAGGCCCCGAGAGCACGAAGGGGGTGGTGGGGGGGAGACCAAGACCAACAGAAGGCCCCGCCCTCTTCTGCAGGGAAGGAGGGAACGCTACCATGTGACCAGATGGTCAGGAAGGGAGGCAAAACCCACATGGTGACCAATTACATTTGCTTTTTAAATGTTTTTTACTTTGGGAGTTGAAAATATAATCTTCATACTTATGTACTCCCCGCCGTTCAAATATATTCTGAATTCCGTGACTGCTACCATGGGATGATAAATCACACGATAATTCTCTTAATGCATATTATAATAAACAACATTTAAGAAGTTTATTCAGCCGCTGAGATCGTAACATAGATAATTTAGGCCTCCACGAGGCCCTAAAATTTGTTAGTATTAAGTACTGCACACACAAACAATTCTAGAAAAAAAAATTGCTATCATTTGTTCTACACACTGACACTGTCTAAACTGACTTTTAAATTTTACTACATTAAAAAAAAAAACTGGCTTTGTCCATTGCAGCACTATGACATATCAAGAAATTGAGAATACAAGGGCTTCAAACAAAACAATTCTTTTTAAGTTACATAAAAGGTAGAGTAAGCACTTAGCAAGAAACAACCTAGGCTCCGATCTCTCCTATTTAAGTACCTGTTATATACCATTTTCAAAATACCCACATCTTTAAATTCTTGAAATAGAGTGGTCAGCATAAGGCATTACCCACACAAGCTAGCCCTGAATTTAAAACGTAGTAAAAACTTTCCATTCCCTGTAAAATTATCCCTCCATGCAGATTCATATTTGCAGAGACATTCATTTTTACCTCGGTATGCCCCAACCAAATGGCATTTGAGGTATCCAGGCTAACGAGCCACTAATACAGGAATCGGTATGTTCCTCTCCAAAGCTCTGTCGTTGTGGAAAGTGGTTAGTAAGCATCTACCCTCCTCCCTCCACATCCGTCACCCTGCCACCAGATGCAGGGTGACACTCAGCCACAGGGCAGAGACCAAGTCCTTTTTCTCTTTGATTATCCAGGAGAACAAGGACCTTACTCAATGCCTAGTAAGAAGAGAGTCACTGTTCAATAAACATTTTTTGAAATACGGAATAAAAGCTTCCTAAATAAACCAATGAATCCAGCTTCTTGCTTCTGTGCTCACTTACCCTGGCCTATCTTTCAGAGATGTGTGAGGTTAGTGAGTCCTGCGTACTGTTAGCATAGAAAACCCTAACTTTCTAGAGGGTTAAGGAAAGGAAGACTGCAAGAAGTTGACAAAACTTTAGTCTCTGAAACTGCTTAGGGTACCAGTACCCTAGTTTTCCAGCATGAACTACAACCTGTAAAGTTTCTGGAGCCTCTGAAATATAGCAGCATTCTGATTTTATTCAAAACGTTAATATATGTTCTAGCTCCATCCACAGGAAGGGCCTCCAAGTGATGACACCTCAGCTGCCGTGAGCAAACTTGGCATCCAGATCTTGTTTCCTAAATACCATTCTCTACTAAAAAGGAAGCTGTGCTCCCTGGAGAAATGGCTGATCACAAGTCTGGAGCAAGGAAAGGTCAAGGTTAGTCTTAAGTATTTCTTACCAGAAATCAAGGAAGTGCTCAGTGACTGATGGGGAACCAGCCTGAAGGGGTTCCACTTGCCAATCCCGGGATAATTTGAGCACCAGAAAGAAAAAAGGTGGTAAAGCTTTATAAATCATAGAGTGATCCTCAAGAAAAATGGGCGGGGGAGGAAATTTTACAGAAAAAGATCACCTAATCATCATAGAAGGAATGACAGAATTAGAAAAAAATCATCATTCTGCAACCATCAATTTATAATAACTGATTCAGGCAAGGATCATAAATGGTTGCTACAGAACGGTAGTTGTTGGAAGATACCACAGTCTCAAATTATCGTCCTGCCGATCATTAGTGACAAAGGCACAATGGTACCTTTATAATGGAAAGATCTAGTAGACATCACCTTAACCAAACGATTGCACTTGGGACAATCTGACAATCCAATGGTTGCAATGGAAGCACACACAAACCCACGAAGTCCTCACGACGCAAACGGCAAACTAAAGCTAATCGTGGGGAGCAATCAGACGAATCCAAATTGTGGAATATTCTACAAAATAACCAGCCCGGACTCTTAGAAAAGAAAAACTGTCCACGTCTTGAAAGGTGGACAAAGAAAGCAGGGAAGTGTCTAGAATAAAGACAACTGAAGAGACAGGACTATGGAATGCAATGCTGTCCTGGTTCCTGGATTGGAATAAAAATAACTCTATGTACTCCGTATTAAATAATATTATTCTATCAGTGTCAAATTTCTCAGGTGTGATAATGATGACAGTTATGTAAGGAGAATGTCTATTCTTCAGTATTTAGGGCAAAAGTGTTAATACGCAGCTTACTTTCAAATGGTTCTGCAAAAAATATATACATATATGGTGTGTGTGTGTGTGAAAAAGCGAGATAAAGCAAATGTGTTAATTTACCTGGGCGAAAAGTATACAGGTGCTCGCTATACTTTATCAACTTTTTTTTTTAAATGACATTTGTTGTTGGCTTTTTAAAAATATTTATTTATTTGGCCGCACTGGGTCTTAGTTGCGGCACACAGGATCTTTGTTGCAGCATGCAGGATCTTTAGTTGCTGCATGTGGGATCTAGCTCCCTGACCAGGGATCGAACCCAGGCCCCCTGCAATTGGAGCGCAGAGCCTTAGCCACTGGACCACCAGGGAAGTTCCTTTTTCAACTGTTTTTTAATAGAAATTTTTCAAAATAGAAAGCTGGGAAAAATATTAATAGGAAAAGGTAACCCTGGGGGGGGAG